TCTTTTCGGATATGACGCATGAAAAAGCTGCGCATGCGCAGAAGTGAAATGCGTCATATCCGAAAAGACACATACTACTGTCAATCAAGGTAATAAGGCTTCAGTGAAAGGTTAGATGGCATCCATCGTGTTAAAAGAGTATTTACAAGAAATATTATATTTGTTTTGTTTTTTTCTCAATAATGATATTATATGATAGGATGTGAAAAATTCTTACCAGCCCTTGTTCTCGTATTAAAACTGTCATACCTACATAAATATTGATAATTATAATAAGCTAAAGTGCTAATCAGTTTCAGCTTTCAAAATATAAATTTTTAAAATCTTAAAAAATTCAATTGCGTCAAATTCCATTGGCATTCATCCATTTCTCCTGAGAATGAGTAATGGTCAAGGTGTCAGTGTAACACTGTTATGATTCATAATGTCTATCGTATTAATAATTCTAATCACTTACGTTTGGTCAGATTTTTGTCTTTTCCCTAAAATATAAATAATAACCGACATGATTTTCAGCTATATCTATGCCATTAGTCATAAATGAAATGGGCACTAGAACAACAAGTAACAAGGCAAAAAAGAACTAGATATCCAACCTGAAAACAGAGGCGTTTCTACGGCGGATTGTGGACAAGATGCACCCGTCAGGGTTACGGGTAAAGACTCTTTCAAGATCAACACACTGTATGTTCAATATTATATTTTGATGAACATTGTTCAAGATATACCTGTCCAATATCTGTAGATATATATTGACATAATAACCATCACTACTAGAGCTAGAGCTAATCCTATTCCAATACCAGCACCAATTCCACTGTTATATCCACTGTTGTAATCATTAGTAAATCCAGATCCTGTAAGAAATACAGCTATACAAGGAAATAGACATTGTATCGGGCCGTAATAGTTTTAACTTAACAAATATTCGACTTACTGTAATATGGTTACTTCTGAATATGTGGTTCAGACAACATATTTATATTTGATCACATGCATATCTCATTTCCTGAATTAAATATAATTCAGATACATTACCTTGTCTCGGTGCTGTTTTTGGATGTCCTCTTTCGAACAAGGTACTGATTAGACTTTCACCATATTTATTACTAGCTATCACTCTGATATAATAACTAGTATCTGGTTCTAATCCTTCTATACATTAGTCAACTCGACCATTATTGGTACCATCTGGTATTGCGGGCGAATTGACCCATGTTTTATCATCAGTAGACTGTTTAACTATAAAACTATCTATCGAACAGTTTTGGGAATTCTTTGAAATTCTCAACAACCACCATCCTTCTATCAAACTAACCGCAAACGTGAGTGACAAAAGCATAGACTTTCTCGATACCACAGTCTTTAAGGGAGATTCCATAGCAGAAACAAATAAACTGGATATTAAAGTGTATTTCAAAGAAACTGATACTCATCAACTCTTGCACAAGAGCTCCTTTCACCCAAAACATACCTTTTCTGGTATAATTAAGTCACAAGTTTTACGATTTCATCGAATTTGTACAAGATCTTCTGATTTCAACCAAGCCTGTACGATTGTTTTCTCAAAACTGAAAGAGCGTGGGTACTCTAAACGATTTTTACGAAACATAAAAAATTCCACCTTAGCACAGATAGCAGCTAAAACAGACTTTATGCCGAAGTACCTCCAGGTTTAAGAAGTGCTCCATGTTTGTCCAGTAGATGCAAAACATGTCCCTTTATATCAGAAACTCATTATTTTGTAAGCAACTCTACGAATAAAAGGTACCCGATCCAGGAACATCTAACATGTGAACATTCGAATGTAATATATTTAATTTCATGCAAGAAATGCCCCAAACAATATGTAGGAGAAACTAAGAATAATTTACGAACTCGCTTTAATGCTCATAGGTCAGACATCAAATTAAAGAAAGACAAGCCTGTTTCTAATCATTTCAACCTCGACGACCATTCAATAGACGATCTCACCCTAATCCCAATTGAGCGTATAGAAATTGACTTGCCCGAAGATGAAACTACCAAATTCCGTCAATCTAGGGAGGCCCATTGGATTGAGACATTGAATACAGCAAGACCTATAGGACTAAATATTCATCATAATGTAGGCATAGCACCCTTTGTTGTCCCGTTTAATACAACCAGCAATCGAGCAAGCAAGATAGTTCATGCCCACTATAAGAGCCTTCAAGAGAAATTCCCCCATGTCTATAAGCAGAAAATGATAGTTGCATATTCAAAAAATAAGAACTTAAATGATAATATTGTTCATAGTAAACTAAAAACAATCAGTACATAACAGATACTATACTTCTCGCCCATTGGGCGAGTTATTTTTTCTAATTTCAGATCAGAATAAGAACAGAAGAAAACCCAATATCAAGACCCTTAATCCTGATTTCTAAATAAAGTGTCTGCTCCACCCTAGGCCTGTACATTTGGGAGAATCAAACCCTCCCTTCCCCGAAATATAAAACTGTTAAATATACAAACAGTAAATATTACTAAACATAGTGAACATATATAAATATATACAAACAGTAAATATTACTAAACATAGTGAACATATATAAATATACAAACAGTAAATATTACTAAACATAGTGAACCCCTATAAATATACAAACAGTAAATATTACTAAACATAGTGAACATATATAAATATACAAACAGTAAATATTACTAAACATAGTAAACATATATAAATATACAAACAGTAAATATTACTAAACATAGTGAACATATATAACTAAATACTTACAGTGAACAAGCAGTTCCAATGATTTGGTTTTCTGATTTGTATAAACAGGATTTGTAGCTAAACAGGAATAATTTCCAGTATCTAAACAGGATGTTGATGATATAAAGTAGATATTAGAATTTGTTGTGGGTAATTCTACATCACCATCTTTAAACCATCTAATAAAAACAGGATCGTTATGTTTTAGTTTAGTTTGGTTGGTGATGATTACTATATCATCAAAATCTAAAAAAAAAAAACCAATGGTAAAAGACATTTTTATCAAAAATAAAGCCAATACGGGAATACGAAAACTAATCTTTTCTCTTTTAGAGTCACAGAAAAGTAGGACGTAAAACTCCATTCATTTCATTTCATTTCTTTTAGAGTCAGGTATTTTGAATTCATCTTCAACCCAACAAAGATATAACCCTTTCCATATTATAGTAAATATGTGAAACATAAATAATTTTATTACACAACAGTACTGTTCCCAAATTCGTAACTAAAAACGATATGAACTCGTAGCACACAGAATAATTACAACGCAAAATAGGTCATGTATCCATTCGCCGTGTAAACAGACAACATGCCCTCCCTAGAAGTTGATGAATCAGTTCAAATGAAAGGTAAAGGGCATGACATTTTTCCAAAAAACCTAACGGTAATATCTACGCGTGTGTTTTTTAAAAATAAAAGAAATGAATGGATTTTTACGTCCTACTTTTCTGCACCTTGTGGGCTAATGAAGACGGGCAACGCCATGCAGGTTGCCATGAGGGAAATTTTGCCATTACAGCGGCATTAGCCTGCTCTTTTTCGATTTCCAACTGTCAAGGGATCTTTAACGTGCACAGTCTGTAGCGCACGGGGCCTCGGTTGCGTATGTTTTAAATGTGACCGGATTATTGTAACGGTATACTGAGCAAAATTCTAAACTGGATTCAGGACGGTACGGGTCATGACGTAATGCGCCAGATATATGCCTATTTTTTACTGGGCCGAAAATGTCTTGTAAATTCGTGTGAAAAAAAACGTCAAAACGGCAAATTTTTAAAATCGTTTCCCTCAAAAAATTCTTCACCTTTTTTTTCTCTCTCATTTACCCCATGGAAGACCCTTTCCCAGTCGCAATATAATATTGCTTTATTTTGTTGTCCGTCTCCTATATATAGTCCCGGGAAACCATGCACGTATGTTTTAAATGCGGGAGTCCGATAAAATTCACGAAATAAAGGCAAATGCTTGAAATTTTTTTTTTCAAAAATGGCAAATTTTTAAAATCGTTACCCCCACAAAATTCTTTACCCCTTTTTTCTCTCTCATTTACCCCAAGGAAGACCCTTCCCCGGGGTTCTCCTTCCCCAGTCGCAGTATAATATTACACATTACATATTATATTTTGTCGTCCGTCTCCTATATATTGTCCCAGGAAACCATGCACGTATGCGGGTCTAAAAATTTCAAAGCCTGTATTTCGAGTCAAAAATCACTTAAACAGCAATTTTGTTAGTAGGTTTTACTGAGATTATACCAACATAACTTTGACCACGAGTTGCAATTTAGTAATCACTATTACTAATAGAGCCCACTTGTCACTCTCGCAGACCCTTCTTGACAATCTCTACTTGGAGGTACCCGAAATATACACCAATACACCATCTTGAATTAACAACCATTTATTAACATAACAAAACTCTTAAGGTGTATTATCTTTAAAAGTTGATATCTCATTTTCAATGGCGATTAACAGAAATATACAAAATGTACAAAAATAAACTTTAAAAACATTAATTATTGTTATTAATTAAAATAAAGCGTTTGGAACTTATTTAATTGTGGTCTGATTTAGAATAAATGAATTATCTCCCAAATATACTGTGTGGAAATTAATTGTCTCCCTTTAACACACCGGGAAAATTAATTGTAGTCGTAGCCACTAGCGTAAAATGTATAAACAAACATTCACTTGAAATGCACAGTCAATCTACAATACGATAATTGAAAGATTATGTCAAAGTAATACCGAATTTGTGCGCTTCCAAGCTAGAAATCGATCTAAATAGTCATCAAATTTGCAATTATTGTCTTCTCTCTCAATTTCTTTCCACCATGTTGGATTATTTCTTCACCCGCGTGGTCCTAAACAAACGTCTGATTGGTTAAAAATTTACTAGTCCGAAACGCAGTCTAAATCATAATCCGAAACACATAACTTTCGACCATTTGGTATCTACATTCCGGCTCTCTAATTGTGAAGATGAATATCGCAACGATTATTAACACTAATTTCACAGATAACAAATGCTATAGACACAAATTAAATGGACTTTAACACCAATAACTTTGGCACAAATAATATTAAACTGATTTCAATATATATACCAAATACACTGCATATATGTATCACATAGATGACACAATCATATATTACACATTAATTTAACGCGTCTTCCAATATTAAGCACAACTTGTCTATATGTCGCGTATAAGTAGCCGATTTGGTTTTGACTTCACTATTCTGACCATTCCTTTCTTATCAGGAAACAACTCTTCTATCTTTCCTAAAGACCAACTACTTCTTTGGGTTAAATTGTCAACTAATAGAACAATCTCTCCGATTTGGAAATTTCGTCACAGTTGCATCCATCGTTGACGTTCTTGTAGGCTCGGAAGATATTCTCGTATCCAACCAGAATTGTCAGAATAAATTTGACAAATACTGGACTTGTCTCCATCTCTTTCTCGCATAATTATCTTCTTTGGTAAATATTCCAATTGGAACATTGTCTTTGTTGTTAAGGTGTAACAGATGATTTGGTGTGATCCCTTCCAAATCATTTGGATCATCTGAGTTTCGCGATATTGGTCGACTATTCACAATATGTTCAATTTCACAGAAAAGTGTCTGCAGATTTTCATCATTCAGGTTTATCACTTGTTCTAGTGAAAACATAATCTTCCTGATTGTCCTTATCTGCCGCTCCCATATACCCCCGAAAAGTGATCCAGGTGGAGGGTTAAATGTCCAATCAATGTCTGATAACTCTTTTGATGCCGCAACAAAATTGGTACCATTATCTGTCAATATGGATTTAACGTTTCCTCTTCTACATAGAAATCTTCTGACGGCATTTACACAAGAATCCGTGTCAAGGGAATGCGCCATTTCCAAATGTATCGCACGGATTGATAAGCAAGTAAAGACGACTCCATATCCTTTTACTATTGTGCGTCCTCTTTTAATGTCTATGAGTCCGAAATAATCTATTCCTGTGTGGCTAAATGGTGGTTCATTTACAGCAAGACGTTTCACAGGAAGATCAGCCATTTTCTGGTATCCAGTCTTTGCTTGGTATCTCCTGCATGTAACACATTTATTCACTAATTGTTTTATCGCAGTAACAGCCTGCAACACCCAATACTTCTCTCTTAATTTGGCTAACATAGAGTTTTTACCATGATGACCAGGTTTTCTGTGTATATCATCCAGTATCAGTGCTGTAATTTATGATTCCCTCGGTAAGACTGCCGGATGTTTGGTACTTTGAGGTATGTCAGCTCTTTCAAGTCTTCCTTCTACTACTATTACTCCCTTCTGTAAATATGAATCCAGTTTTATAAGCTTACTGCTCTTCTTCACATTTTCATTCTGTATTCTAACGTAGTTCCATTGAGAGACGTTTGACCCTTCGTGTATAACCGTCAGTCTATTTACAACAAATGTATTAAAACGGCTTCTCTGGTTTGCAATATAGCGCAGAACTGTTTGGCTATCCGTCCAAAAGTATAT